GAAAACCCGGTGCTGCAACCCGATTGACTGCCACCGCTTGCACTTGTCACCGCGCGTTTTTTCTTGCCGCCAGCCTGCATCTGCTAATCGGGACGTGGTTGGATCCTGGTGGTTTGGGATGTTGATCGGGGTGGGGCGCAGGCTTGCTTGCAGCACGCTGCTCCACGCAAACCTAAGGGCCAGCCGCTCAGGCCAGCCTTCTGTGGCTTGCTGGTACATTGCGCTCCCTGTTTCAAATGCAATCAGCTGGATTTAACATGCCCAAATTCGTGCACCCTGGTCGTGCGTCTGACAGCCCATCTGCAACTTTTTGGTGTTTCAATATCTCCCTCAACAAGGGTCGCAGCCCAAGATTATTTTTTGTTCGTGCCTACCCGAGGTATTGCTGCAACGCATCATCCGTACAGCGGCTACTGAGACGCAAGGACTGTGGGACGGTGGTTGACTGAGGGTTACGTGAGGTGGGGAGAATGTTTCCTTGCAACACAGTGTTCCGCACAAGCCACAGGCCAGCCCCTAAGGCCAGCCTTCTATGCCCACGGCGCGTTTCACACTCTGCACCTGGGGCAGCTCAGCTTGGATCGCGCACACCCCAGACAGTGCTACAGCACATCACCAACATAGAAGACCATTCGTACCTCCATTCGCCGGTGTCTGGCCTGAGTTTGCATATCTCTGCTCTTAGCTAGAAGGACGCTAGCTGCAATGCGTTGCCATGTTGGCACGTCGGTGGGGGAGTACCCTGTCATTCCCACCGTGGGCTACCGACCACACCCAGCCCAGTATACAGTACCTCCTTCAGTTATTATGTAGCTACTGCCAGGCGTAGTTTTGACCTCCCGATGTTCCACCTCTCGTTCTGCTCCAGTACATCACCCCACTCAAGGGTCGCAGCCCAAAAACTGCTGTGTGTTTTCGCGCCTACCCCAGGCACTGCTACACCAGAGCATCAGTTCAGCGGCTACTGGTACTGAAGGACTTGTGGGATGGTTGCTGCCTGCGGTGGAGGAGGATGGCACAGCCACGCTTGCTGCGTCTAAGACAGTACGCTTGGAATGTAACGTGCCCAATGTATTGCACTCTGCTCGTCCTTGTGGCAACCCACCTTCCACGTTTGTTTTGTGTACTTCCGTACCCCACTCCACGCAACGGGTCGCAACCCACATTTTGCAAATTGTTTTTTTCGAGCCTACGCCACACATTGCCACAGCACATCATCAATACAGCGGCTACTGGTACTAAAAGAATGCTGACGGGCGGTTGACTTAGAGGAGGTGGAAGATGCCAAGGAAGACAAGGCCTTCCTGCACTTGCTTGCATCCTTATATATACACATATGAACAGCACGTGCCTTTTCATACTCGGGGACGGGCTCTTCTGTTGGGATACTTTAAAGTACATGCTGCTCTACCTGGTGGGCGACTACTCCGTGTGTCTCCTCTCGTCGCCGCCTGTTTCCCATTTTTGTCCGCGGCGCCCCCTAAGTACCCGCGCGCCGAGTCAGGTTTGTACTTTTTTCCTGCACGCCATCTTCAAGAACGCCACAGCTTTTGCTCAGGTTGAACTCGCGTATAAGGGGGAGGAGGAGGAGAAGGAAGAGAGTACGACTGGGTCGCGGACAAGTCGAAGGCAGAGGAGGAGGAGGAGGAGGAGGAGGAGGAGGAGGAGTACAGGGAGCAGAGTGGGTGGGTGGCGAGCGAGGAGGATCAGGACCACGAAACCGACCATAAGGCCGATGGGCTGCAGCGGGGGCGTGCTTATGTCAGTAGGAGGCGGCGGTGGTGCCGAGGAAACTAGTTTCTCGCGCACTGGAAAGAGGAGGATGCACACGAGAAGTATGAGCAGGCCGATGGAGTAGAGAGAAGGGGAGGCACAAGGAGGAGGTAGGGAGGATGAGGAAGAAGGAGGATGAGGATGAGGAGGAACAGGAGGAACGAGGATGGCCTCTGCAATCCAGGAACCACGATGGGAATTCCTTTTAAGCGAATTAAGGCCATCATCATGCGGGGCCCCACCGTCGGTGTGATTTTCTTTACTTCTCGGGCCTCCTAATACGCCCTCGCGGCGACGGATCATTCCGCTTCGAATTTCGCCGCTTGGCGGGTCCGAGAGGGTAAAGCAAGCCCCACTTCTCCCGAATTTCAACTCATTCCGCCCACCGAACCTCCTCCTTCACTTCCTTCTCCCCCTTCCGTCAGTCCTTGATCTGTCACCATGTCTGGTCCCCACCCTTCCATCGCCACTCTCCATCTCAAGAACGCGTGTTCCTACCAGAACATGATATGATTATTGCCCACCGTAAGCACCTTTCACAAGCCATGCGTGACCACAACAATACAACGACCGCGATTCGTTGCATCAGCGGAAGGAAAATTACACCTTCCGAGTCCTACTACTGCGATTCACTATTCAACGAACGCAGCAACTCACCCTTCGGCCCACCGACGGGCACATGCCTCAAATGGACATACCTAGATGCTGGCAACTGGACGAGCGTGGGAGAAACAAGCGAAGGAGACGACGAGGATGGACGATGAGGACGACGACGAAGGGTTGAAACAGAGGAGGAGGAGGCGGCGGCGGAGAAGGAAGTGGAGGAGGGGAAGGAGGGACCATGTTTAAAGAAACTGGGAGAAACGATGGGGAAGGGGACGGGAAGCAACCCTTCTAATCTGACCAGTCGGCGCGGCGCCGAAGTGTCCCTCGTGGGCTCCGTTACTCCTGGGCCCCCTGGGCCCTTCAGGTGGGTGTCCACCCGACGTCGGAGCGGCGGAGGGCGCAGAAGAGAGAACCCCCCCCCCGATGAGGAACACAGGAGTGCAGGATTGGGCGTTGCTCACTTGAGGGCGATTCATGGGTGGGCGAAGAAACGTTCACCATTCGTGCCCCTTTTGGGCCCCAGGGGCCCCTTTCAGGGCCCTTCTAGGGTACAAAAGGTATACATGCTTCATCCTCCAACTTACCGCCCCCTCATCACGCAACGCCCCCGAGAGGAGGAAGGAGGAGGAGGAGGAGGAGGAGGAGGAGGAGCATGAACCACGGAGCCAGAGCTCAGATGGGCGCCCTGCCGGCGCCCAACGTGAGGCTCCCGGCGACGTAGCCCGCCAAGCTTCTCACCTCGGCAACGGTGCGGGGGGGGGGCCCTGATCCCACCAGCCCTCTGGGCCGAATATACGGCAACTTCGTGTCGTCTCGACCCCGGCTTTGATTCCCGACGCCGCGATGATCGTTCAACCTCGATTGATCGGCCGTTTCCGAAACGTCCGATCGTTCAACATCGACCGAATCTGGGCCGCCGACGGAGTTCATTGAACGAACGTCGGCGGCGGGGCCGCCACTGGTCGACACGACGCGAACCTAATATAGCGCGTTCCTGTTCCATCTTCCCCCCTTCTTCCCCTTTTGCGACCACCCCCTCCGTTTGGGTCTGGACAGGGGGGTGTCGCGAGCGGTCAGAGCGTCCAAGGTGGCCTCGGCGACTAGGCAAACAACAACGATTTGCCCACGATTTCGGCGAATCTGGGCTTCGGGAGGGGGGGGGGGGGGCGAGGCGAATCCACGCCGCCCGCTGTTTACTCGCTCGCCCCCAAGATGGCCCCAAAACGGCCCGAGAGCTTCCGGGAGAGCCCCAAGAGTGCAAGTACTAGGCGGAATCGCGCAGCGGAGACGATCTTCTCTAACTGTTCCTGATCTCCAAAAGCTCAAGCCCGACCCATCGTGCTTCTTCTCTCTCTCTCTCTCTCTCTCTCTCTCTCCACGCATCTAAGCGCAAGCGAGGGGGCGCTAGAGCCAAAACGGGCAACAGTACAGATGGACGGGCCCCGCACGTCATCTCACTCGCACTCCTGGCACTTTCGAATCTCCATGCTCAGGCTTGCTCCGATCCAGATCTGCACGGACCAGGGTCCTCCAAGCTGAGCATACTACCTTCATCTCGAGAAGGCCTCGTAGTCCAGAAAGTCTTTATTCGCAGCTCCAGCGGCTGGCTCCCTCGATGACTCCGAGCTCCTTAGGATATCCTGCGGAGCGTTCTCAAATGGAAAGATCCCCGCAGCCTTCCTCTTCCGTGCGCTCTGGTACTTGGCGTCGTAGACCAGCTTCCAGCGGTGGCCACTGTTGAAGTGCATCCTCAGCTGCCCCGGCTCGTGCCCTTTGGTCAGCGAGTTAGCCAGTTGGGCATCGCCGTGGACCCAGAGCAACCAGTTGTTGGCGGCCTGGGCCCCCTCCTTCAGCGCCATGGCCTCCGCGTCAGTCCGCTTCTCCTTTCCACGGAAGGTGTAGACCGTGGCCTGGAGCTTGTCGCACAGGCCCTTGGCGTCCACCGCGACGGCCCCGGGCAGCTTGAAGAGCGTAGCCTCCGGGTTGCGCCAGTCGGTGGAAATGCCGAGCATCTTGAGCTGCAGCTTGATTCCGAACAGCTCGTCCTCCGCGCCCACTGCGGACCGCGTCTCACATGCGACGGAGCTGCGGCAACCTCGGTCGATCTTGCCGGGCTTCCACGACACCAGGCTCACGTCGGTCTCGCCGCCCTTCAGGATCTTCAGCGGGGCCACGCCTGCGACCAGGCCCTCGGTGGACTTCCCGTCGGGCCGATTCGACTCGGATGGGTCAGACCACTCAGTTGGCGCCAGCACCTGCGCCTGCGAATGACTGTGGATCACCGCGGGCAAAGCCGCGCACTCCCGCGCCCGGTCGACCAGCCTCTTCGCCTCGTTGATGGCCTGCACCTTCGACGAAGGGATCGTGCTCAGCAGCAGGCTTGCGTCGGCGGGGCGCATCGGGCCAGACTGCTCGGAGCGCCAGCCGACGGCGCCCAGGATTGCCTCGAGCTGGTCCTTCTCCTTGTCGGTGGTATCCGCGCCCTTGTTCCTCTTGCGCTCTGGGGCCAGGAAGGCCTCCTCGATGGTCTTGACGTGATCGCTCTGGTCCATGCGGAAGCTCCTGTCGGGCTGCTGCTTGATCCGCACTCCAGTCTGCATGAACTCCTCGATGTTCCACGTCTACCACTTGAAGCGCCCCTGGATCTGCTCTCGAGCCATGGCCCATCGCGGGTCGGACCCCTTGCAGCCCAGCAGGAAGTCGCCCACGCGTGACCCGGCGATCGCCACGATGTCGAGGTCAGTGAATCCCTGCAGCGCCTCCTTGGTGAAGCTGTTATCCCGGCCGCGCGCGTCGCCGCGCAGCACCCAGACGCGCGGGTCCATCTTCGTCTGGGTCCAGCCGAACTCCTCGAATGCCTCGCTCACCGTCGCGAACCACTCGATGGCTGCCTCGACGAGCCCATGCGCGGCCCCCTGCGCCCCACGGCGACACTCTCGGGGCCCCTAGCGCCGCGGCCAACTCCTTCACGGGCATCGCGAACAAGTTGTGCTGGATCTCGCGGTTCTGGGTGAACGCTCCGGTCACGTCAGCCCTGTAGCCCGCGAAGCCGAGCCGCGCCATCATCTGCAGCACCAGGTGCCTGGAAATTCGCGTCATCGTCGGGGCTGTTGTCGAGCGGTGCTCGCATTCGGGGTCCATGTAGCCCAAAACCACGATCCGCGCCTTCGTTTTCTTGTCGCCGTGCTCTCGTCGATCTCCAACTCCATGATCCACCTCGTCCGCGTGACCTCCTCGGGTGGCGGCGCGGCTCCGGGCGGCAGGGTCTCGAGGGCCGAGGTTATGACGTAGTTGTTCACCTCAGTGGTGTCTGGGCACTCTCCAGGCCACCTTTGCAGGTTAAGGGTACTTTCCCGTCAATGGGATGGCGCGCTGTGAACTCGGCGGTGGTCCATGGATTGCTTAAGGTTTGTTCCCGTGGTTTAAGGTTAGGTTTCGCCCAACCACCCAGGCTCATGGTTTCAAATCGGTGGTTTATGCGATCTTGGCGTTTGCCGAGACGCATGCACGGTTGAAGGTCATCTCACAAGGCACGCCAGCTATGCGCTTGGCAACGCTCCGCTACCGCGCGCAAGCTTGACCGCGGTGCCTAGAGCAAGAAAACGACGGCAGCAACTATAATCTCAAGTCCCGCGGCAGCGCGGAGATGCACCTGAACGGTTCGAGCCAAAATGGCCACGGAAGGAGCTGGTGGGATGAGCGGGAAGAGGCGGTGGGGGAAACGAAGTTTGAGAAGGAGGGGCAAGGATATGACATCGGGATGGGTAGAATGGGAGGGGAGGGGGAACGAGGGGCAGGAGGACGAGGCTGTGGAGTAGGAGGGATTTTCCGCATTGGTAGAATGGTTGCCCCCCCCTTCCCAAATGCCCCGCAGGACACTGGGAAAAGAGAACAAGGAGGGGGCTAGCGGACGGCGACAGCGCTTGAGCCAATATGGCAACAAGGAGGGAGAAGAGGAGGAGGAGGAGGAGCAGCAGGAGGAGAAAGCACACGGGGTAGCAAAGAGCAGAACGAGGATGAGGAGCAGGAGGAGGAAGAGGAGGAATATTCATTCCTGCGGGTGGCGGCCCTGTCATCCAGAGCAAACTTCGACGAAGCGGCCGAGCCACCTGGCTCGAAAACAGGTGCGAGCGGCGCATCGTCTTCTTTGTTGCTTCCTCCTTCCTGCCTCATTCCTCCTCCTACCTGCCCCCCCTCCTACCTCCTCCTTTACCTCCCCCTCCTCCTCCCCCCTCCTCCTTCCTCCTCCCTCCCTGTTGCTCTTTACGTCGTGTCGTCGTCCTCTTCTCCTTCAGCTTCCTCCTAGTGACCCCTCTCTTCCTCCTCCTCCTCCTCCTCCTCCTCCTCCTCCTCCTCCTCCTTCTCCGCCTCCTCGCGCGGTGCGCCGCTCGAAAAAGGTAGCGTGGCGGCCCATGGGCCCAACGTCACTGCGCCGCGGCCCAACGCCGCTGCCTTCTCCTTGTACATGGATGATCCCGCGGCCTGCGCCGCGAGGTACTCTGCGTTGTAGTTCGAAATCGCACGAGCCACATTCTGGCTGACCGCCTGGGAGGGAGAGGGAAGATGAGGAGGTCCGCCTCATCGTCGACCCCCTCCTCATGGTCCGCCCCCTCCTCCCCCCCCTCCTCATCATCACCTTCATCATCTAATTCCTGATCCGCTCATCACCCCCTTCCTCATCTAAGTCCTGACCCGATCCATCCCTACCGCCCCCAGCCGCATCATCATCATCCCCCTTTGCCCTGCCATCGTTGCCATCATCGTCATCATCGTGAACACCTCCTTCCTCCGATCCCGTCCTCGTCATCCACGCCCGCGCGACCCTATCATCTTCCCCTGCGTCCTAATCGTGTTCTTGATCATCGTATTCGTCATCGTCATTCTTGTCCTCGTGATATTCGTAGTCACGCAGGCCATCCTCATCAACGTCCTAGCCTGCCTCATCCTCACCATTCGCCTCACCGTCTTTCCCTCATCCCCTGTAGTTTTTGTTCAGCGCCGTCTCCTTATCCCTAGGTTATCCTCAGTCTCGTCGTCGTCCTAATGGGTTGATTCCTGATCCAGACTACCGTCCTCACGAACGTCCTATGCCTCATTTTCATGTTCTCCGAAACCCCATCCTCATTCCGATCCTCCTCCTCCTCCTCTTCCTCCCCCTCCTTACGCTCATCCGCCCTCTGCTCCCACCTCATCTTCCCTCCTCCCCCCTCTTCCTTGGCCCTCGCCCCCTTATCCCCTAGGAGCGGTGGGTGAAGGAGAAGGAAGAGAAGGAGGAGGAGGGCGAGAGGACCAATGGTCAGGGCGGGGTAACTTAGGCCGGAGGAGGAGGGGGACTCGTTGGTCTGGGTCGGAGGAAGTGGAAGATCGAGGATGAGAGGGGGCAGGAGGAGGAGGAGGAGGAGTTTGAAGCACGGCGCCGTCTTGGCGTTCTCCGCGTGGCATCTTCTTGGCCTGCTGGAGCTCCAGCGGGCGGTGCAAAGGCATGATCATCGCGCCCGTCGGCGCGTGCAGAATCTCACCAATCGTCAAACGGATAATCGTCGAGCCCTGGATGCCGCTGCTGCCCTCTTCCGTCTCCGCGAACTTCAAGAAGACCTTGAGCGACGCGCCATTCTGCAGAACTGTCGCCGCCTCGCGGCACATGATGTGGGCATCCTTCGCGCGTGCAATCACTATGCGCTCGAAGCCCACGAGAGGAACGGGCGCTGGACCCCAGCGAGGGCAATCGGCCTTGATCGTCATCAACCACGGCGGTACACCACCCGTACAGAGCTCGAAGTAGCCGTCGCCCAACGTCTCCACGTCGGTAACCACCCAGTCGCTCTTCACGCGACCCAGGCAGCCTAGCCAGTTCTGGCCTTTGGTGTCGAATGAGCTGTCGTGAACCTTGATCTTGATATCGATGGCTTCGGAGTTAGCCTGAATCATCCTGGAGACCGCATTGTGCACCTCAGAATTTGGATCGCTCCACGCCGTGATCTCGAAGGGGTCGACGCTGCTGCCATTCAGTGCCACGGAGCCCTGGAACAGCAGAGGTTTCCTCAGCTTGCCGCCCTTGGCGCAGGGCTCGCTGACCAAGGACTTCTTCTCGGCGTCCCCCCTCATGGAGCAGATCGCCCTGGAGATGTTGTCGGCGAGCTCCTTCGAGAAATTGCATTTCATCAGCCTGCGCATTATCTTGATGCGCTTGTTGTAGTGGCTCATGTACTCGATATGCTTGTCGTGCCCGCCCTTCTCGTTGAGATACCGAAGGCCGTCCAACTGAGTATGCACCTGCCTCTTCGTCTTCTCGATCTCGTCGATCTTGGAATGAAGCTAAGCAGAAATCTCTGCGAAGCTCGACTTGTTGCAGTCAGCGCCGAGCCTCTCGACATCTTCCTGAATCTCCTGCGCAATACTGCTGATGCTCTTGATCAGCTCGTCGGTCGGCATGTCAAGGTCGTTATGCGCCTCGTTGCCCACGGCGTCGCTGGCGGCCCTGAGCTGAGACACGTAGCCCGACCCAGTAGCCATGAAACCGGCGTGCACGTGGGACGCCATCTCACTCCAGTGCCGCTTCACCTCCATGAACACGACGGGCTCCATCTTCTCGATGTCCTCCATCGTCGGCGCGACGCGCTCCCTGGGGGCGTCGTCAATGTTGATATCCGATTTGGGTTTGAAGAGCTTGGTCTTGCCGCCCGTCTCAGACGGCGCCCCCTTCTTCAACTTCGCGCCGTCCTTGCTTGTGTCTGTAGCCTCAGCTTCCCGAAGCGCCTCGCGAGGCGACGTCGCCACGCCGACCGTGGAGGCGTCCAAGGTGTCCACGCTGTCGGCCCTGGAGCGGCTGTCGCCGAAGGTCAGGTAGTGCTCGGCTGAGCGGGCGTTGGTCGGAACATGCGACGGCGGCATTCGACCGTCGCAGGACGAAGCAGAAACCGACGACTTCGCCATGAGGCGCCTGCGCTTCACCTCCGCATCGAACGCAGACGTCTCCATCTCCACCTGCATGCTACAATTGGACTTGGACTCGCCTTTGGACGTCCTGATGCGGCCGATGTCCTTCGTAGCTATCTTCTGCAGAACTTTCACCTCGCCGTCTTCCGCCCACGTCACGTCGTACTTGCCATTCTGCTCTGCGTGAATCCGTTCAAACTCAAGCGTGCTCTCCTCATCTGTCTTCCTGTGCCAGAACCCCTCGAACGCCATGAACTCCGTCCGAACGACGATAATGCCGTCATCGATCCCCTTCTGAGTCTCTTTCGATTTCGTCTCTGTCACGGTGAAGAACCTCTTGGTCACCTCCCTGGCGCTGTCCCTCGCGATCTTGGCAGGGTCGATCCAAGGACGGATGCGTTCTTGCCAAGCGGGACGGTCGAGCTCGAAGTCCTGGTTCATTTTATCAACCACGTGCTGCGGCGCTCCCTCCAGGAAGCGGTCGTGGGCCCGTATCGCATTGAAGCTACGCCCGTGAAGACACATGCCTTTTCAATCCTGGTTGCTCGTGTCTGCGCGCGCAGTGCCCATCTCGCAGAGACCGCACTGGAAGCGCGGGAGGTCTCCAACACCAGGCCCCGCTCCCAGAATCTCCTCGTCCGTCACGACTGAAGCAACCATGCTGCACCAATTGCCGCGGCAAGGAGGGGCGAGCGCTCTCACCGCCAGCTCCTGTGAGCCCAAAGTGGCTTGAGCCAAGCGGTGTTCGGTCGTTTGCTTCCGACGCTCAAGTTGGGCCTTCATTGGGGGCGCATTTGGGGGGCCTTCATTGGGGCAAATTTGGGGGGCCTTCAGCGTTGGCACTCTGCGCTGACATTTGCTCTGGCTTTATGCCTGCCTGCGCGCGCCGAGACACGCCACTGCAGTACAACGATTACGTAGTCAGAAGACGTCGACCGCTTGCCACTGCCCAAGGTCTTTAACTTTCTGGAGGCCCGCTTCTGTCTGCTTGGCGTCTTGTTTTGCTGGGGTCTTATGTTGCTGCTGTCTGGTAGGCGTGTTTCGCTGTTTGGTAGGTGTTCGCTAGCAGTGCTGTCTGGTAGGTGGTGTGTCGGTTTCTGGTGGGTGTTGTGTTGCTGTCTGGTAGGTGCTTTTCTGTTGTCTGGCAGGTTTCCTTTTTTTTTCTGTCTGGTAGGTGTTATGCTGCTGCCTGGTAGGTGTTAGGTTGCTTCCTGGTGGGTTTATGGTGCTGTCTGGTAGGTGTTCGCTTGCTGTCTGGTAGGTTTCGTTTACTGTCTGGTAGGTGTTCTTTTTGCTGTCTGGTAGGCTTCGTTTGCTGCCTGGTACGCGTTATGTAGCTGCCTGGTGCATGTCTTTTGCTGTCTGGCAGGTGTCATGCTTGCTGTCTGGTAGGTGTTCTTTACTAGCTGGTAGGCATCCCGTGGATCAAGAGGAGAGGGGATGAGCAGTGAATCAGGACAATCAGGCGAAAGAGTTCTCATGCAACCATCAGCCTGAAATATCTGCTGATGCCAGCGTATTGGCCTCTCGGTGCGGCCTCCGGGCATCGCCGCACGATGCGGCCACATAACTCCAAACAGTCTACGCAGCTAGATGACGAAGCAGCTGCAACTTCAAACAAAATAGTATTCCCACAGATGCGGGCTCACGATTGTTGTCTGCAATGCGAGACTCACGATTGCCGAGTCCCCGGGCCCATATTGCACCCCACCTCGAAAAATACCTTGTAGTTCGTGCTCTCGACGGGCAGCTCCCCCAACTTCACTGGGAACCTCGAGCCTAACTTGTCGATGAAGCCCTGCTGGATGCCAACCGGGACGTCCTCCCACCTGTCCCAGCGGGGCGCTGCCGTCATGATCAGCTCCTCCGCGGTTATTTTCGTCCTCAGGGGGCGCAGTGGCGGCGACCGCGAGCGAGGGGCCTCGGCCGCCGCCGCAGCGCTCTTGCTGGCGCTCTGGTCCTTGTCTGGGGGGCGCGGCGCCGCTGCCGAAGCCGATGGCGCTTGTGTGATCCTGGCCGCTGCTGCCGCGAGCTCCTTCTTGAACGAGTACTGCGGCGTCGGAGCCTCGCTGAGCTTCTTCGCCACATCGGCGAAGCGCGCAACTGGAGGTGGCGCGGCCTGCCCCGATGAGGCACTGCCTGCTGTCCCTGGCGTTGGCGATGGGATATTGACCATCTTCTCTGGGCGGGCTGGCTCTAGCGAGCGGCGACGCTGCAGCACTTCAGCTGGAATGGTGTTGGCGTAGTCTTCTGGCACCGTGGAGTCCGTGAGGGAGTCGGGCGGCCCTTCACATTGGGTCTCGCCCGATGGGAACATCTCGAGCGCGTCTGGCTCAAAGGGCGGCTGCGTGCCATCCTCTGCGACATCGTGCTGCTTCGACTTTGGAGGCGCCATGGCTTGGAACTCTGGTGCGTGAGCAGCCAAGAACGCGTCGAAACTAGAGCACCGAGCCAAAGCGCTATCACGACAACCCTGGAACGGGGCGTCGGCACGCTCGGCGCCCCACGAAGGAATTGGAGGATGATGATGATGATGATGATGATGAAGCGTCTTGAAAGGTCGGTTCTCCCAAAACACAAACCTGAGAAGCCACCAATACGCCAAATGCGCACGGTAGAGAAAGAGGGAGGCGGGAGGAGAGGCGGGAGAAAGATGAAGCAGAAGAAAGGTGAAGCCCAGCCCAGGATTGAAACCCATGATACTGAAAGAAATCATGAATGATAGATTGTCCGATGTCCCAAATGAATCCCACCACAAGGTCTTTCTTGCTTTGAATGAAGAAGAGAAAAATGAGAAACGTAATGCAAGATAAAGGAGTATGCCCAAATTGATCAACAATCTTGAGTGGCTTGAGTAGCTCTTGAAGCCAATCTTGGGGGCATATGGTCCCAAGGTCTGAAGTAAGCAAGAAGTGAAGAAATCGTTCATTGAGTCCCATGAAACCCATTGAACATAAGTAGCAACCAAGACGGATATATGTACTGAACGAAAGTCTAAAATAGAAACTGAATGTCCCAAGCACGCAATGAACCCAGAAGATACGGAGGCATACAAAATGGAATGTCAAAGCCGAGTGAGAACTCCACCGTGACAACTCACCCCAGGCATATCAAGACCAATGGAGTAAGGTTGAATTCAAACAAGTATGGAGGGCGCAAGATGAACATGTTTATAACCTTTTGTATTTTGCCAACCAACAACGTTGAAGAACATGCATAGGAGATTGAGGGATACTGAGAGTCCTCCAAAAGCCGCAGGCCCATGCACCGCAGACGCCAGGGGATTCAGTCTGTCGGAGTCCCAGGAATTGCATTCACGGGCACTTCCAGCGCCACTTTTCCACAAAGAAGTCTCCGTCCCACCAGTAGTCAGATAGGTACCATACCACTGGGTGAGGCCAGCCCGATTCGGGGTCGAACCACGTGTCATAGTACTCCGTATACCAGACTTTGGTGTAGACTTTTTCCTCTTCACAGTAGTTCCACATTCCTCCTGGGCCGTGTGTCCACTTGAGACGCTTCTTGGCGGCTAGCTTGACTGGAAGGCTGCGTTTGGCCATCTCCTGGAATTGGATATGGATGTGGATGTTTCCCAGCCGTCTCGGACGAGAGTTCCCGTCAGCATTTGAGGCGAAACGGCTACTGACCAGCAGCCAGTTCCTTCCAAGGAACTCTCCGAACCCTTTCGTCGGGACCCCGAACGTTGACATACAGACCCTTAAAGCCGCTGTCCCGACAAGCTTTGAAAAGCGGGATTTTGCACCAGTCATAAGTGAAATGAGGACCACCAAGGCCCGATGGTACAAGAAACCCAACCGGCAACTTGACCACCCTTTGGAATAGCAGCGTAGAGCAGTATGAGAGTGCCTCAAGATCTTGTTTAGACAGGAAGCAGACTTTGCGTTTAGACCTGCAAAGCTTCCCCTGAAAGATAACGTGAGGGTCCGATGCCTTGGGAAGTAGCATACCGAAAGCTTGAGCCCGAGACTGCAGGAGCCGACAGGAGGCAAGGGGAGGGGAGGGGTCACCCCCCCAAACCCCAAGAGAGAAGAACAGACTCGAGTCCCAGAACACGGAGGCATCCTGAGGAAGGAGGGATTGTTGCGAAGCCACGGTGTCCCTAAGATCGCATGGAGGATGAGGAGGGGTCAGACGAGGAGAAGAGGATGACTGGGAATGCAGAGGCTACGTCGGGAGCTGTATCGTGAGCTGGGGCAGGACGAAGAAGAGAAGGAAGAAGGCAACTGGAGGGCCTGCCAAGGAAGAGGAGCAGAAACCCCGAGGAAACGCAGGGGCAGGCCGTGGAAACACTATACCCCAGAGGGGGTGTCTAAGGATTGAATCTCGAATCTCAAAGCGGAGCTTTAGTATGGCATCATGTTTGGCAGTGGGCAACCAGTTTGGGGTCCCACCGGACTGGCGGCGGCCGTTCAATAAGCCTGTTGGGGCCACGGCCTGCGGTGCAAACTGTTTGGGGATCGCCGAACGACCTCAGGGTGCAAGCACTGTCGAATTCTCTTCGCGCTGGGGTAATCCATTGCACGACGCCCACGCATGCACGGTAACATCTCTAGTGTGCATCGCAACAGACTACCACCACGCGCGCGTTTACCTGCGTCGTGCGCGGGCCCTATCGGCCAGCCTGTGGTGTGCGCTGTTAGTTCCCCTTTGTTGCGGGCACCCCTGCATGGCCATTTCAGTTCCCAAGACAGCGTAGCGGGTTGTTTTTTTGTGGGCCCACAGACTCCACCGCGCGCGTACGCGCGCCGTGCGCTGGCCAAGTTGCCTAGCGTGTGGTGCGAGCATGTTAACGTCGAAACCCATCTGGCGACAACTCAGGGCCCGCGCCGGTTCCACTGCCAGCATGGTCGTTCCTCTGGTGAGGATAGTTCAGACTTGGCCACACGCGCATGCGCGCGTCGTGCGATGACCAATATCAAGTGTCACGTGGTGGGCCACTGCTACCTGGCAGCCTCCTCTTTTCGAAGACGCCAGAGGTTTAATCTTGGTTTGCAACCGACCATGGTACCTCTTGTAGCTTGGGGCATATAGGCCCCAGCAGGCGCGCGCGCGTGTGCGCGTCGTGCGTTGTCCCAACCGATTGGCTTCTCATGGGCCAAGGCTGACTTCTGCATCTACATCGGTAACGGCTGTAGGCTTCAGATTAGTTCATAGGTGGCATGGCGGGTTTTCTGTTGCTGGTGTTGCAGAAGCCGCGGGCTGCTGTCTCGCGTGCGCGCGCAGCGCGCTGACCCAACCTAAAGGCGTGTAGTGGGCCATGCCTGCTTCCGAAATCCAATCGGTCACCGCTAAGGGTTCGCCTTGACTTCTGAGACAACGCCGTTGCGTCCGCACGGTGGGCAGCGCAGAGCCCACCACGCGCGCGCGCGTACGCGCGCCGTGTGATTTCCCAACCGACTTGCATGCGGCGAGCCCAATGTAGCGCTATGGCATCCTATCGGCCAGCGCGAATTGCCCGCTGGGATTGAGTCGACGTGCCATCTGTCTTGTCGCTGGTGTTTCCGCACCCCGCGCGCGCGCGTCGGCGCTAGTCACGGATTGGCGCTTGATGGGCCCGCGCGAACGCGGAGCGCAAAATATGGGTTTTGGTGGCGTTTCACTCCGGTGCCAGAGCCAACTTTGCGACTTCCCGATTGCGGGCAACGCGCGTTCCACTTCGCGCGCGTACGGGCGCCGCGAGCCAGCCCCGACAGGTTCGCGTTGTGCCCGCGTGCTCCCGCTCTATTGCCCAACTGTTTCTCGCGGCGCATTGCCCGACCAAACGTCTAAGACGACGCGCTGACCCCCTTGGCGCTGGGGCCATGCGCTTATCGCGCGCGCGACGCGATCAGGCCCGCGTCGGCTTACGCGCGGCGCGCATGGGCTGGCGGCGACGCCCAATCGGTCACCCCTGAGGGCACCACTTCTTTTCCATTGCGGCGTAACGGCTTCTTTGCCGAGGTCAGCTCGCAGTTCAAGTCCCACTTCGCGCGCGCGTCCGCGCGGCGTGCGCTGCTCCCCATAGGGCCTGTTCCACGCGTGGCAGGCCCGCGGTGACGTGTGCGTCCACGCGGCCCATCGCCACCACCCGCGGGCCCCACTTCTTGTTCCGAGGAGGCGCGGAGTTGCGCGAATTCTGGAACCAGCAACTCGCGCGCGCGCCGCGCAGGCAACTTCCCGAGATGCCTGCGCGCGTCGGCGCAACGTCACATTCGAAACCCGAAAACACCTATGCCGCCACTTGGAGGCGGTGTTTGGGGGTGGGGGTTGCGCGAGTGCTTGGATCATCGTGGCTGATGCCGCGTTGGGTCGCGCGGCAAAGGCCACCGCCGCGCGCGCATGCGCCGCGCGCTTACATAATCGGTCGACATTGGGTGCGCCAGCCAGCGGTGGCTCGCGACAGATGGGCAGTCATCGCTAAGTGGGGGCTTCGAATGTCCAAGGCAGCGCTGCGGTTATTAATTCTTGGAGGCCGCGCGGCCCAACGCGCGCCCAAACGCGCGCGCGTCGTGGGCCCGCCGCTCGGCGGGCGCGTGATGGGGCCATGCGTGCGCCGAAATCCGAACACCCTCCGCTTCGGGTTCATTCCGGACTCCAGCAGCAGCACGTCGGTCTCCACATTGTGGGCGCCAGAAACCCACGACGCACCCGCGTGCGCGCGTCTTTTGCTGGCCCAGCAAGTTGGCGCGCAGCAGGCCACCGTCAATTTCGAAAGTCTAGCGCCACCCGCCCTCGGTTCATTTGGGTACCAAAAGCAGGGTCGCGCATTCTCTGATGCGGAAAGCTCGGTGCCGCCACGCGCGCGCATATCGTTCGGCAATGGCCAGGTGCTCGCGTTGGCTTTCAGGCCACCAGCGTGGCCGATGCATTGCTGATCGGCGAAGGCGACCGCGTGCGCGGTGTACATGGCACGCCCGCAGCGCGGAATATCCTACGGATTCTCGCCCGTTGCTGCGGAGTGATTAGCAGCCGAACGATCATTGCAACGCGTCATGCGCGCCCGCGCCCCGGCAGCAACCGCGCCCGATGGGCAGCGTGCCAGCTGCGCAAAACCTACTTGCCATTGGCTTGACAAGCTCGCGCTGCTGCTGCATCTCAATTTTGCATGCGTGCGTTGCTAAGTGATTTAGTTGTGGTTTACGGGTGGTGTATGTGAACTAGGTGGTTTATGTGTGGTTTATGGGTGGTTTATGTGTGGTTTATGTGAACTCGGTGGTTTATGTGTGGTTTATGAATGGTTTATGGGTGGTTTATGTGAACTCGGTGGTTTATGGGTGGTTTATGGATGATTTATGTGTGGTGTATGGGTGGTTGATGGGTGGTTTATGGGTGGTTTATGGGAACCTCCTGGCGCAGGCCCAATGCTTTTCGCAAGGGTTCTCTGGCTGGGTGCAAAGGAACCCTGGCCTCGCCAATTCTAATATTTCCCAACAAAGGAACCGCCCTGCCCGTGGATGCTGGCGCAAGGGAACTCCCCGCGGCGCCGTCGAAAGCGCAAACCACAGAGGTTCACATAAACCATTGAGATTCACATAAACCACACATAAACCATTCGCGGAGCCCCCCATCAACCATGCATCGGCCATCGCGCGCACCACGGCATGATGTGCACAAGGCACGACGATGGCCTTGTCCCAGCAGTGGCTGCAGAGGCGCAAGATCGGCGCGACGGCAGGCGTCATGGGCGCCTGAAATACGGCGTGGGGCTTTCGCGGTGGCCGAGTGCAGCGCAGGTGGCGCGCGCCCCAGGTGGGCTGCTCGCCGCGGGCGCGTTGCGTGCCGTGCGCTATCCATGATGGAGAAGTGTTCGTGCTGGCCTGCGCGCAGGGAAACGACCTTGGTGGTGGCAACGTTGGCTATGGGGCTAGCATGAGGGACCGCATGTTAGCAGATGGGGTCGGCCAGGGGCGCGCGCTTGGTTGGGCCAGGCTGTGGCGCGCGCGCGTGGCGGGCCTTGCGCTGCTCGCTGGACATGCAGCGATGTTCGGGCCTGGAGAGTAAAGTGGGCGCTTCGCGGTGGCCGCCTGGGTTCCGATGTCCACGTGGCCCCATCTCATGTCTAGCGGTTTGGGCCAACGCGCGATGCGCTTGGCGGGCGTTGCGTTGTCCACGCCTGGGAAAGCCGCCATGCTGATATGAAGACTAGCATGCGCCTGGAGCGGTGGCCGATCGGGCTGCTAACGGCGCATTCGTCGCGCACTCGCCGATCGCGTGGTGTCGGCTTGATCAGCACGTGACGCGCGCGTGGCTGGCCTTGCGTTAGCACCAGTTGGTGCGCAGCCACGTGGCCCGAGAAGCTTGCGTGAAGCCCATGCGCGGCCGATGTGACTTCAACGTTCGGGCGTGCCCATGACGCGCTATTCTGCTGGGCCAGGTCACGGCGCGCGAACATCGATGGATTTGCGTGGCCTACAGTCGAGCAGTGACCATGGCGGCCATGAAGACAAAGTAACCCCGTGGGGCTGGCAAGCTTGATGTCGCAATTATGGGCGCACGCATACGCGTGCCCCCCGCCCACCCACCCAACGCGCGCGCACGCGCGCGCGCGCCCTGCGCAGACCGAACCACTGACCACGTGCTTGGACCACCGCAACATGTGCGCGCAAGTGGCTGGCCCTGGCGCAGCAGCGCCAGGGGGTCGCCATGGTGACCTGGGGGAACGCAGCGGCCCCTAAGCGGTGGCCAGCGGCTGTCGACATGATCAGCGGCCCATGGCACGCCGTGCGCGGCGGGCGCGCGGTGGAGCCCGCACCGCCCGCGCTGGGGAAGTCGTCGCGTTGATGTTGGGATCGGCATGGGCCCTGGCCGATGACCGCCTGGGTTTCAAAGGTGGCGCACGTCCATCGCGCATCATTCAGCTGGGTCGGCACGCGGGGCGCGCGCGTGGCGGGCGCCAGATGGTCCAAACCCGATGGTTTCCCATGGTGGTTTGGAAGTTGACGCGGGCCAGCAGCGCGGCGCGGGCGTGCGCGATGGGCATTGCGGTTGCCGCAAACATTTGGGTGTCGCCACGTTGGTTTGTGAGCGGAAGTGAAGCCGAAACGGTGGCCGACTGGAATCCGAAGTCAACGCCCGCCCGTCAGACCCCGTTCGGTTGGGCCAGCGCGCGGTGCGCGCGCGTGCGCGATGTGTTCAGGTTTGCCCTCGCCACACACACACATTCACATGTCGGCAAGGAAGTGTGCTATCTCCAGCGGGCCCAGTGAGCAGATTCCAAACTGCGTTTCGAAGTGGCATTGGCGTTCGACCACCGCGTGCCAAACATATGGGCGGCGCCGTTACGCGCGCGCGCGTGGTGGGTGCCTTGCCCACATGGAAGCGCCACTGCTTGTTTGGAAACGAATGGGGCCCCTTCGCGGTGGCCGCTTGCAGTTCGCACCGAACGCGCGCCCTAGTCATGCCATTGGGTTGGGTCGGCGGACTGCGCGCGCGGGGGCGGCGGCGAGTCCATTGCAGCCTTGCGCCGCTCAACGCCATCGGGCCCATGGCGAATTACCGTGCACATTGCGTTGGGCAGTGCGCAGTGCGCAGTGTAGTGCGCTGCAGACATGCCCTTACCATGTCCAGCGCGGCGTGGCGTGCTGGACTGGGCGTCGGTGGGACCCGCCAACGTTGGCTGGGAGGTCCGTGGGCCCAGCCCGTCGGGCTACGCTGTCCTATTCTGGGGAATGCACGCACGCGTCCGCAGATTCGTGTTCGCTGATTTGCGCAAAACTATCGTGACGATTGCCAGATGGCTCCGACACAAGTGCATGGTTGTTGCAAAGGGTTCTAGCGGCACGAAGGTTGTTTATACATATATATGTGTATAAATATGTACATGTACATTTGAGTTGATATATCACAGACCAAGCGCGGTTCCACCGCGCGTGTGCTCACGAGATACACGGCCCAGTTGGGCGGTGCGAGGTTCCCAGCCGCGTAACAAAACAGCTATTCGCGAATGCCGTTCGTTCGCTTAGTGCGAGCGTGCTGGTTTTCGGTCTTATTGCCGCGGCTGCGACCACCACTGGGTTTGAGCATGTGCACCACCATTATAGCACAGTGGCTGCGTACGCGTAGGCGCAATCATCACTGTGTCGTTCCGTAGCCGTGGTAGTCGCGGCAGGCTTGCTTGAGTTAGTTGGCCACAGGTGTCGCGCACTGGCGCTCCTGACAGAGCACGCACATGAAAGCGCCTCATGAAGGCAATGCCCATTGTGCGTTGAAACAGCCTGCATTTTTCAGCGACACGGCACAGCACGGACCACATTGCCCAGCATCGCATAGCATTTTATCGCACAGCATGCCATTTTGCTTTTGTTTGTTCATTCGACGGTTGCGTCACATATGACATCGCAGAAAACGTTGCATAACACTTGGCCGATCAACATTACTAGTGCGACGTCGGCTGTATCAAGCAGCGTGTTGTGTTAGCACCTCGTAGGTTGCACCGCATAGCTTGCACGTCAATCCGCAGATGTACGTTGCGCATGTGAACGCACCCTCTCATTGCCATTCCTCCTCTTCCTCGCCGTCCTCCCTCTTCCTCCCCCTCCCCCCCCGTCCTCCACGTTCCCCCCTCTCCGTTCCCTCCTCCTCACCCACCCGTCTCTTCCTGTGGAGCCGTTCGGCGCCCTTTCGGCGGATGTGGTGTGGCGATGGCCATTATGTTGATGATGGTGGTGGTGATGGCGATGATGGTGATATGTTTAGCCTCTTCGCCTGATCAATGGCATCTTCACTAAAAGTACTGATCAGCGGGCCAGCTGCTGGATTTAGACTGGGACAGACAAGAAAACTGGGTACAGGCATGCCCAGGTCAACACTTCGAAGTCAGGATCGCTCTCTGCGTCCGCTGCCCCCTGGTTGCCCAACGTTGCTTGATCGCTGCCGTGTGCAAGCGCACTCTGGATGGCCCGGCTACTCTGGTGCAATTTGGTCTTGAGCTTACACGTGCGAATTCTGAGCCGCTTCGACCTGGCCCTCCCAACCGCAAGCTCCATCGCGAGCTGCGCTACCTTCCGCTGGGCCGAAGGGCTGAGCTTACAGAACCAAACAGGTGGCATCTTGCGGTCTGCTCTCGCGGAGGCGTCTATGTCGATTCTCAAAAAATTGGCGCTTGAGTCAAGATGCCTAAATAACGGTTGCAATGCTGGCGCTGGTACGGTCATGTTGGCGCTGGCATTGCGTCGCTAAAGCGCAAACATATGTAGTATTGTTGGTGGTGTCATTGCTGGCGTTGGGATTGCTGACGCTTGCGATGGAACGATGATGCTGACGCTGGCACGGTAATGCTGTCGCTGGCACGGCAACGCTGGCGCTGGCACGGTAAACATGTTGGAGTTGGTTTTCTTGGCGCTGTCGCTGGCGCGGCATTGCTGGCGCTGGCACGGGAAACATGGTGGTGTTGGTTGTTTTGTCGCTGTCGCTGGCACGGCAATGCTGGCGCTGGCACGGTGAACATGTTGGCGTTGGGTTTGTTGGCGTTGTCGTTGGCACGGCAATGTTGTCGCTGGCACGGGAATACTGTTGATGCTGATGTTGTTGGCGTTGTCGTTGGCACGGCAATGTTGGCGCTGGCACGGTGCAAATGTTGTTGGATTTGTTTCTGCCGTCGTTGGCGCGGCCATGTTTGCGTTGGCACGGTAAACATGTTGGCGTTGGTTTTGTTGGCGTTGTCGTTGGCAGGGCAATGTTGGCGTTGGCGCGGTGATGTTGATGTTGGCATTGCTGGCGCTGGCACGGTACCCCCGTTGCTTAAGTGGCACGGTGACGTTGGCCTTGCCACTTGCGTTGCACGAACCCACAGGGAACAGCGAGGGGGAGAGAAGTGAAGTGAGACGCGAGGCGGGTTAGCAAGCGGACCCCCAATCGGCCCCATGAGGATGGTGACCCCATCGGGTGGCATGACCAGACGTCGGCACGAGGGCCCACGGGGACGTTGATCCTACAGAGTCAACGATGGTGCCCCCCCAGGGCCGTACAGCAAAATGCCGAGACTGCCCCAGTGATGTTGATGATAACGTTGGATGTTGGTGATGCTGATGGTGATGATGATGGTGGAGATGCCGATGATAGTCGTCTCGGCCCTCGTCATGCTGACATAGGGTCCCGGTGCTGATGGGCACATCACTTTTCATCTTTTTCCCAATGCATTGCGCAGAGGTTTTATCCAACATCCTCTGCTGCGTATGCGTCCACCTCTGCTGAGGTGGGCTTTCGGTGGCCCGCTTTATCTGCGGGCTCAAACGCCAGGCGCAGCCATGCGCCCAAATAATACTGCGCTGCGCGTGGGCCATATCGCTCTGTGCCCACGCGAACAGATCGAAACGGCCTGCACCTGCCATGGTTGACGTTACAACAGTGCACACGAACGCCAACTGCTTGCAGGCCAGATGCTAACATGTGGGTCTCTCTCGTGGCCCGCTGGCCCTCGATGAAATGCGCAATTGCCTCCGCGCCAGCAAGCAATCCATCTCCCACGGGCGCTGGAGGGGGAACTGCAGGGGCGAGCTCGTCAACCTGCTGGCCGTCATCGCCCGCGACGTCGTCGTCGCCAGCGACGTCGTCGCCGACGACGTCATCCTCGAGCGGGATGGGGCCCATGACGGCGTCATCGATGATACCGTCACGCGGTGCATCCACAACGTCGCCCCCGACCACGTCACAAAGAATAGCTGGCGCAACAACTTCCAGTTTTTGTTGCAGGCGTGCGCCAACAATTGCTGCAACATCATGCTCGCCATCTCCTTCCAAGGAGTTCAGGATGGCAATGTGCCTGGCAGATTTCTCGCCTGGCACTGCTTTGGGTGGATCCTCGAGGAGCAATCGGAGAGGAAAACAAAAAGAATCGGGCTCATATGATTTGAAAGGCTTGGCCCCCTTGTCAAAAAGGGCCTCCAGCGAGAGCAGAGCTAGCAAGTAATGCTTCCTACCAACATGCATGTTACGAGAATCGTATGTCACAGCTCCGTCGTACTTCTCATACGCAACAACTTGGGCACGCGATGTCCACCCAAGTGCCTCGATATGGTCCAACAGAGACAACGTGGGCCATTGCACTCTGGAGCCAGTAGGCGCTGCAACCCGAGGCTCACATATATCCAAGCAGCCTTCACTATCGCTTGGCACTGCCTGCCATCCCTTCGAGTTCTGTCTACACTCAAACGGCGCATCCATGAATTCAAAGAAATCGAACGGCCCTGGATCCTGGACAGGATAGGCGTGCACAACATCGGACTCCAATGGATTACCAACCCATCGCTCCAAAAATTGCACATGTATAGCGAAGGAGTCCGTGTCGCTGGCTTGCGTGTTTACAGTATGCACAAGTTTTGCGCTGACCTTCAATCTCAACACCTGCATGTGCACGCACGGAGGCTCGTCAACTTCATCGTCACCATGGCATTGGGACGAATAGTAGCCGTACCGCACAAGCAGTTTGGACAGATATTCTGCAAGCAAGCTCGCCTCTCCGACAGCAAATCCTTCGACGTGCTTTTTCTTGGGAGTAGAAGATGCCCTTGGCGGTTGCAGCACTGACTTAGCGTTGGCCCAGTTCGTGTCGAGATTTACGTCTAAAGCGCTGCAGAAACCACGGATGTCCTCAATATTATTCTCGAGCCTGATGGAACTGGCGATCCAAGGAAAAGTGCCCCGCCGAGCTCGCAAGTGATGGTGCCTAGCCACGGCGCGGGGCCCCTCGGCAACAGTGCCATCCAAAGGTGCAAATCGAATTGAATCGACTTCTGCCTCCAGCTGGGGGCTGATGTTTCCCCCCCTCTCGTTGATGTTATCTACTGCAGCACGCAATGGCGACCCTGGTCGCATGATGGCCAGAGTCACGGAATCATGGCAACATTGCGGATGTGCATTGAACAAGTCAATGCATCTTGATGTCATGCCAGGCGCATGCAACCTCCCCAAGATGTAAGGTATATCCTTCAAGAATTTGAGCTTCAAGGGCCCGAGAGCGAACGTGCTCCTCGCCAAGCCTTGGGGTTGGCGCAACAGTTGCTGGTCGGGGCCGGGCCTGCCCTCCATCCAAGCATTGGCCTCGTTCAGCCCAGCCCTCAACTTAGACATGCCGTACTCGAAAGCAAAGCCTAGCACGCAACCAGATCGAGTGCAATTGATGGCCTCGCCAGAATCCTACAGATGCCGATGGCAGGGGCAGTGCCCTGCAAAACGTATTAGATCATTGAGCCACGAATTGAACCACATCATGACTCGAAATTGGAAGGGGAACGACTGACAACTCATGGCCCCAAGAACTATATTCAGACTTGTTGTGCCACGAATATCCCCAAATGCAACTCTGGCAATGTGGCCCCTGGCCGACCAAATGAAACCGTCCGAGCAAGTCAGCGCATGATAGAGTTTCTGCCACCTCCACTCCGCAAAACTAGGCACATCCGACACCAATCCCGCAAGAGCAGCTAGACCATGCAGTCCTTGTGCTCTCCAGTGCGTCTCTAAAGTGCACCGCGCACCCTGGGGCGCATATTCATTCACATGCACGCGCGCACCTAGTTTTCTATGCCCCACCTCCTACTCCTACTTCGTACTCCTACTTCCTACCTCCTGCCTCCAACCTCATCCCACCTCCTACCTCCTGCTTCCTACTCCCCCCCCCCCCCCCCGCCTCCCACGGGCCTCGGAGATCCTTCATCCTACCAGCTTCGAGGCGCATGCCAGTTGCAGTCTGCATCATATGCCGCTCCTACCTCCCACGCCGTGCGTCTCACCTCGTCTGTTATGTTCCCCTCCTGTCTCGTGCCTCCTGCCTTCGGCCTCTCACCGTCTACCTCCGAGACTTCTGCCAACCTCTTGACTCGTTCTTTATGCCTCCTCCTCCTTCCTCGCGCCATCTTCCGAGCTCCTACCTCTTATTTCGCGCGCCCTACCTCCTATCTCCTGCCTGCCGCCGCGAATGGGCCCCAGGGCCCCTAACGTTTTTAAAGGCGGCGGGGGGGCAGGAGGTAGGGGGATGGGGGGGGGGGGAGGGGCGTAAGAGGTAGGATGGAGACGCTGGCAATTGGGGGCGGCGTGGATTCGAACGAATACGAACCTCATCTCTGAAGAGCGACGCCAACGCCTTGATCCACGCGAGAAGGCGCGGGAACCACACAAGGGTATTACAGCCGCGCCTGATAAGATTATCCACCCTGCGCCTCCAGCCAGGAATAACAATGGCACGCGGCAGCACCAGCTGTTGCCTGACAAGCACAAACTTGGCGCCAAGACACTGATAAAATCAGGCAGACAGTCGCTCATGTTGGCGACCGTGCATTCTGCCCCCGTATCGGAGACCGCGCTACGCACGCGATCGAGAACTTTGCGCATGACAGTTGCGTTGCCGCCAAACACCAAGTGAATATGCCACAATAGCGCAGCAGTCTTGGCAAGCGCCGAAAGCTGAGATCTCATAAGAAGAACTGGGGTCAAGATCCTGGAAAGAAACTCTCGGCCTGCAACGCGGACACGGTACGAGGCAGCTTGCACCTCCCAGCCTCTGCCTTGCGGACTGGAATGCAGGTGGATGTCAACCTGATTCCAGTTCATTGTGAGGAATAGTTGTCTGGTCAGGCGCATGGCAGTCCAGTCTGCCCTGACCCTGGCCGTGCGCAAGGTTTCGTGCCTGGCCAATCTCAAGCTGCGCTTTAATTCGATACGATCGAACCGTCCACTCTCTGAGAACAGCCTGCTCCAAGCGACCGCGCCTTTAGCGGCGTGCCCGGGCGATCTCAGAGCGCAACTGGCATCCAGCCACGCCAAGGCCAGAGAAGCATGTACAGAGTGGCGCCGTGCTCCTGGCGCGACGCCTGCCTCAAGGGCTGGCAGGGCAGGCGCGCGCTCCGCATGCCCTTGTCGGAACACCTTCAAGATAGAAGGCCGCGGCCCGAACCTCAAGGTTTGTTTCATTCGCTTCGTCGCCACATCGCAGCAAAACAGAACTTGCATCATTCCCATCAGGCTCACAGCGAACGATGAACATAGAACAACGGGTCCGCACATGGTGATGTCCCCATGCGCAACACGGATTTGCTCACCGTGTTCATCCCAGCTCCCGCGCACAGCATCCCCCTTCCAAAGATCTGCACATGCACATCTGCCCTTGCAGTGCGTCAAGGGCAACATTCAGGTTCACTGCATCGGGGTCGCAAGCGCGAGCCTTAAGCAACTCGATGCACGTTGCAGCTCTATGCGCCAGAATACCGCGACAAGCTTTACCTCGCAGTGCCGCCAACGATCTTCGCACAGTGAGCTGATCGAGCTCACCAGGGAAGCGCCCAGAATCGCCGAACAGCCAATGCTGTCCGTCTTCAAAGCGGACGCCCTCGGCTCCCGAATACTCGCTGGCGAACGGGCCGCCGCGCACGCCGAAGACGAGCCAGAGCCCGTCGGGCCCGCGAAGGATCTCTCGGCCCCGACGCCTCCGCCGGCCCGCCGCTGCAGCCGCGCCGTCGCCGCCGACGGCCGCGCCCTCCGCAGGGGCCTCGTCGCCGATGACATCGTCGCCCATTGTTGCGACGCACGCTGAGGAAACACAATTGTGCGAAGCCCGTTTGGGCCAAAACGAGTTTGGGCAGAAATGGTTACGTAGGAGGAAGGAGGAGGAGGGGGAGGAGGCGCACCCCGAACAGTGAGCGACACGAACGGGCATTGTTCGGGGGGGAATTGTGGAAGAACGGGGCGCTGACCCCTTCCCGTGGGTCCGTGTCCCAAGAAACGCCAGGACCCCAACAGTGGACTCGGCATTTCACTTGGGACATCCGCACACCATGCCACCCGTCATTTCGGACATTGCCTCAGCTGCGCATATGGTTGGCTGCAACGCTTGCAAATAGAAGGACAACCGCTTGAGACATCCTGACATTGTGACGAGCCACTCCGACCGAGCCCTCTACGCGTTGACTCGGTCACGCGACCTGCGAGCGCAAGTGATAAATTCACGCCGACCAGCCCCGATGGGACGTGGTCATGTGGCTTGTGAGCAGGGACGTGCAAACCTGGCGTGACCAACTCGCGATTAAGCGGGAACCCATTGTTGGATTTGATTGTGTGTTGCTTTTATTTTTTGGGGGGGAACGGGGGGCGGACTTCCGCGTCGTTTACCATCGACGGTGAGTGTTTGTGCTTTTTCGTGTTCGCATTGTTCATCGTTGTTTGGCTGTTGTTTGAGATGTGTATTAGTAAGTTTAAAATCTCGTCGTTACTCTTAGCGCGCAGTGCTAAAGTCCTAAGTTAAGGAACCTTTTTCCTTTTTATGGGACCCCCCCGTCGGTTCGCATAGCCCCATCTCATTGGCGGGAAAGTGCCCTTAACCCTTGGAGAGTGTCTAGCCACTCAGTGGCCTTCGCTCCGTTAAACCTCTTCAACTCGTCCGGGGTGAGGGTCCGCTCCGAGATCTCGCGCTTGCCCTTCCCCAGCTGACTCGCCATGGAGGTGCTCATGTGTCTCGTGGCCTGCTTCGGGGCCTCTCCGGCGAACGGAAGCTCCAGGGGCGCCCCCTGCCGCGCCCAGAAGGCCCGGGCATCGGGGGTCGCCTTGGCCATGAGCGCAGCCTGCTCCTCCAAGTTCTTCTCGGCGACTGCTGCCCTCGACGTCCTGGCCCAGCCCGCGGTGCCTCCAAGGTGCTGCCCCTTCTTGAACTGCATCCGCCCTGGAGGGGCAGGGCGGCCCCTTGGTGGCTCCTTGGGGCCCTCGTTCTCGGCTGGCTCAGTCGCGCGAGCCCTCTTCAGAGGCGGTGCTGGATCAGGCGCCCCCTCCCGGGTGGCGAACTCCGCGTCGTGCTCCGCGGGGTCGCGCCCGGTGAAGTCCAGGTGCTCCTGCCGCGCCGCCTGGCTCATGAAGGCGTCGACGGTCCGGGGCGCCCTTGACCCCCATGAGCTCGGCGCGCGCGATCTCGCGGGCAGAGCCGGCCCGGGCCTGGGACAGGTCCACCTCGATGATGCGGCCTGCCCGAACCAGCCAGACCACTGGCCCAAGGCACCCCGGGCGCAGGCTCTCGTTCTGCCCCAGGTCGCCGTCCACCGGGCGGGGGGTCTCTGCGGCCGGCGCCCTCGCGAGCCCCTTGAAGCGGCCCTTGGTCTCGCCCTTCTGCGCGCGGAAGTAGCGCGCCCGCATGCCTGGCGCCGCGGACTTCAGCGTCTGGTTCTTCGTGTTCTCGGCCCGGCTGATGCGCCGCGTGTAGACCTGCCTCCTGCTCCGTCGCGCGCATCCTCGCGTAGTTATCGCCGTGCTCCGCGTCGACGCGCTGGGCCTCGACGCAGGACAGCTCGTCGAAATCGCTCTCGAAGATGCGGCCATCCAAGTCAGGTGCCCTTCCCAGAACACGTTGAAGAGGGGGGTGCCCTCGGACATCTTCGCGAGCGCTCCCGGCTGCGACCGCCCTGGCCAAGGCCTCCTCGGTGGACATCTCGGGGCTCTCCGCGACTGGCCGGTCCATCGTCCCTTTTGTGGCCTGGATCGCCTCTTCTGCGAGAGAGATGCGCCAGTGGGCTTGCCCCGGAATCGGCTCGTATCCGACGGAGTCGGAGTCGAACCTCGGGGCCCACCTTGATTTTCTGGGGTTTCCCAAAGTATGGCACCCATCGCTCCTCGTAGAAGCTCTCGAGGTCGGCCCAGACTGGTCTGCGGTGCCGGTCTTCGCCCAGCATGTGGCAGAGCAGCTTGCTGACCCGCGCCGTGCAAATCTCGTCGATGGTCAGCGGGAACGTTAACTTTGTCTTCTGGCGGGGGTGCCCCCACTCGAACTGGTCGGCCTGGAAGCGCTTCCACGTCGGGGGGATGACCTCGAGGCTGACCGGCGGATGCGCGGGGCGGCGCTGCTTCGCCTCCGCGCGCGCGTCGCAGTGAAAGTCCCGAGCCACCTGCAGCGCCAGTGGGCTCGCGCCCTTCCGCCTGAGTGCGTTCAGCATGGCGGTCTTGGAACTGTGGCCCGATCCCCGGTGCACCGAGGTCAGCCAGCGCATGATCTGCTGGTGCTCCTTCGAGTTGTGGCCCGCGCCTGTTGGCGTCTTTCCTCTTCCAGCAGCTAGCGCCTGTCCTTCTGGCGCCTCGGGCTCCGCCAAACACCTCAGGAACTCGCGGTTATCTGGGGGGGGGGGGGCCTCCTCGATCATCGCCCGGACAGTCCTCTTCGCGAACTCGTTCGAGTAGTTGCTCGCGGCGGCTGCGGGCCCGCCCCCGGCGAGCTCGCCGCGCCGGCGATCCCCCAGGCACTCCGGGGACATCCTCGCCGCCATCTTCGGGGACGTTGTGGCGATCAGCAACTCCTGGAGCAGCGGCTGACCCTTGTCGTTCTTCGCCCCAAGCTGGCGCCCCGCGACCTCGACCACCGTCGTCGAGCAGTCCTCGACCATATGCCTGATCATCGCGTGGCCCCAGCCCTCGCACTTGATGGGCCACTCCCAGCGCGCGTGCTTGCCCTGCGTCGCCTGGTCGTGCACCAGCTGCACAGCGGCCTTGTACTCCTTGATCGCCTGGGGCATGCGCTTCCCGGCGGCCTCGGCCTTGCCGTTGAAGCAGAGGGCGAGGTTGGACAGGGCCCCACGCCGCACGCTGACCCACAGGTGGTCAGGCTCAGCGTCATCACGTGCCTCCCTGGCCTTCTGGTTCCCAGCTGGGGCCCCGAGCTTGCGGCCATTCCAGGCGCTGACTCGCCGAGCGGAGCCCCCCCCCGAACTTCCCCGCCATCTTGGTGCTCGGGATGGAGGCCGGGCTGCGCGCCACCTCCGCGAGCTTGATCCCTCCATGGCCTAGCAGCGCGTCGAAGTCCTCAGCATGGCCGGTCTCCTTGATGCACTTTGCGAGCCAACGCAGCTTATGGGGTCTAACTCTTTCGTGTAGTTCAGGCCTCGACCGGGCCGCTCTGACTGGAACTCGCTGGAACGAAGCTCTCGGCGGTGGAGCTCGTTGAGCTTGGCTGCCCCTCGATCTTCTCCAGTCGCTGGCTGAGCTGGCTCAGCGCGGTCAGCATCTGCTGCTGTTAACTGGTCGGTGTTCTTCTCCTCCGGGGCTGCGGCCCCCAGCTTCTCCTGCCCCTCGAGCTCGTCCTCCATCGTCGCGCCCATCGTCCTTCGGCGGGATGACCTCGCGCCCCCTCAAGCCTTTGGCGGCTCCTTCGAGACCTCGCCGGGGTCCCTGGTCATCTCCTGCCTCGTGCGGACCACCTCGTTGGGCCATGGGGCAAACCTGGCCAGCTCCCAGCTCCCCCCGGCGTTCACCTCCGCCTGGCACCAGGTCGCGCAGGTGGGGTGCTGGCTCAAGACCTGCCGGTGCGTCAAAGCGCCGCGCTTCCCGAAGCCCATGTAGTCGGTCGGCTCCCGCGCGCGCCTCTGGATGATCGCCTTGCGAATCGAGAGCTTGAGCGAAGGGTTGGCCATGCCCGGCGTCGCGCGGGCTCCGACCTCCGTCGCCTTCGCGAGCAGCTGGGACTTCATCGAGTCGAGGCCCCTCATCTCGATCTGCGCGGCCGCCTCCGCCTTCAGGATCATCCTCCTTGAGGACCTGCTTCAGCTCGTCCACGCTCCAGGCCGGGCTGCGGGATAGGCCGAACTCCGAAGCAGCTGCGAGACCTCCGCCTTGCGGGGCCCCTGCACCGCGCTGCGCGACGCTGGCATCGCGAACGCCCGAGTCACACCGGCAGGCAGCCCCGACGCAGGCGAGTGGCGCGGCCCCGCGGAGAAGGCTGCCCTAGCGCATCGCTCAGCCATCGACAGCCTCTGGCCTAGCACATGTAGGATCCGGAGGGTCAGGAACTTCTGGTTGTTGAATGTGAACGTTCGCATTGGGCGCGGAAGGTCTCGCTGGGCTCGAGCCTGAGCGGCTGCGGATGCGCCCGTGATACAAGTAAGAAAAAGCATGTTTACAACGCTCGGGCCATTGTGGCGGGCTCCAATGCAATCGGCCCCCGCCTGCGCGAATCGCGGGGCCCCCGAAACGCTCGGCCGCGCGGCCCCCGCGCCAAGAAAGGCGCGCCGTCGGTTCCGAGACATCCGCGCCGAAAGGGCGGGGGATCCAGGATGAGATCCGACGCGGGGGGGCGCCGCGCAGAGCCGCTCGTTTTCATCTGAGCGGCGCGGGGCACGAAGCCCCGACGCCGCGCGAACCCTGAGCGGGCTCGGAACTCGACGCGGGCCGCCCCGTGGCGGCGCGGGGAAGCCCTCTCCCCCCTCGCTTATCTGACCGCCCCCATCCGATCAACGCCGCCCAATCCGCGAACAAACGCTTGCATGCAAACTTCCGGCGGTGACCACGCGGAGATAGCGACGATGTGCCGCTCGTTCATATGCGGGCGCCGTCTCTTAGATACGCGCGACGCCCTACATAACCTAACGTCTGAAATTTTCGCATGCGCAGGGCAGCGCGCCGATCCATGCGGCAATGTACCGACGTCAATGCGAAGCTTCACTGGTGGTTTGGTCCTGCGCGCCTCGACCTCACCAACGCCATCCCTTTGCAAGGACATTGACTCGGCGCGCCGCCACCCCCGCCGAAGGGTCGGATCCAAAGCTGTAGATAATGCTCGCGCCGTGCTCACATAGACCGCGGCCGCCTGCTGGTCGCTGAACGCAAGCAGCTCCGCTACCATTGCGGGGGGCCCTCCGGCGCGCCTTGTTCTGGCCCGCGCCGCGCCCACTCGAGTCGCCGCCCTTCGCGAGCGGAAAAAATTGAATTGACGGCGGCGACGGGAGGGGGAAGCGAGGAGAGAGGGACAGGATATAGGCAAAGCGGGAACACGAAAGAAGGCCCCGGCCCCAGGAGGCCCCCCGGACAGTCCAAACCCCAGGGCTCGTGCATGACCATTATATTCACGCATGCGTGATTATAATCACGCATGCGTGATATGGTCATGGCAAAAGGGTTGATTGGCTAGTGGAATTCGTTGAATCAATCGATTTCGTCATGGAACCAACCCATTTAGTGGAAAACCTTGCCTTGTTATTTCACGCCCCTGTCATTTTTCAGGAAATGGCGCGGACGTGCCAATATAATTTGGGAGCTTGTGTTACTTCGTAAAATACACAGACCCTCCTCTTCCTCCTCTTCCCTCCTCCTCCTCCTCCTCCTCCCCCCTCCTCCTCTCCCTCCCCTCTTTTCTTGCTCTGTCCACTCTGCTCTTCATCTTCCTCGCGCTGCTCGTCTGGCCCTGTGCATCCTGGAAGTTGGAGCCGACCGCCCGCGCGGGGCATAAATCTGCTTGCGAAAGGGCTGTCATGTGTGCGAATACCGCCCCAACCACCACATCCACCGTCCTCGCCATCGTCATCCATAGCCGTTTTGCCAAAGCCTATCATCATGGCTCCGAAAAAGGAGTACCGAAAAGCCGTGGACATACCTTACGCTATAGCAGAGAATGCGTTCTCGCTTTTGCCTCCCCTCGCTCGCAGCAAAGAGAAGTACCAGACGTTGTGCACAAACAAATCATTCAAGAATGCGCCTTCCTGGTCCGCTGGTCGCAAACTCATTAACAGCTTGAAGGCATTGCTCGAGGGGGGCGGGGTGGTGTGTGTGTGTGTGTGTGTGTGTGTGTGTGTGTGTGTGTGTGTGTGTGTGTGTGTGTGTGTGTGTGTGTGCGTGGGTGGGTGGTGGGCGGGTGGGCGGGGGGTGGGCGGGTGGGGGGGGGGGGGGGGGGGCGCGGTATGCGCCAGAAAAATTTGTCATAACACATGAACACGCGGGCGAACAATCAAGGTCTGGATTGGACCGACGACATGAAAGAGAGCCCGCTTCAATTTGCGGCGCTTGTTGTCCCAACTGTTGAACCACCAATCAAATTCAACGTCATTTCCATCCATCTGGCAGCAGAAGTATTCAGTTCTCTGGCAGTTCAGCATCGCCTACGCGAGTTGCTCAGCATGCCTCTGGGGCGGCCTCCAGCGATGTGGAAGTAACGGGGGAAGGCGACAATAAAGCAAACACTGAGGTGGTCGATGTTTCTGAATGCGAATGCTCGTCGAGCATCGTCGACAAGTCGGCGCTGTTCAGCAGCGCTGATCCAGCTTTGGACTCAATCCTGAAGGCAGGCGGCGCCGCGCCTGAAGCTCAGATCTCATCGGCCCAGCCTTCTGCGGATGCGACTGGGCGCGCTGAGGTGGCACCAAAAGATGTTGAGCGACTTTCTTCATCGGGGGCGGGGGCCGTCGCGTCGCGGGCGGCAGTTTGCGCAGTTCAATTCCCAGCAAGGAGTCTCAGCGGTCGAAGTCAACTAAGAGAACCGGTAAGAAGACCAAGCCTGAGAAGGTTCGTAGGAAGCCAGCAAAAGCCCCAGGGAATGCAACGATCATGAAACGACCTGCTAGTGCTGATGCGACTCCAAAGCTTTCCATGCAGCCAGGGCGGCTGCGATGAGTAACGGGGAGACACCCTATGAGGTTAGGGAAGCGAGCTCCGAGGCAGGCAGGGCTTGTTTAGAGGAGCTCCGCGAACTGTTCAAAGCGAAACGCATCGATAGGGTAGGACAGCCGCTTGAGGGGGGCGACTAGTAATGCGTCGCGCTGGCACTCTTGGGCACCTCGGTTCGACGCACTAGCGAATGCATTGCCCCCCCCCCCCCCCAGCGGGCCCCTAGGCCCCCGCGGACCCCATGGGGCCCAGTACGGCCTCCTACGGACCAACCCCCCGCAACCCACCTCAATCCCCTCCCCCCCAAAAAAAAAAGAAAGAGGTGAACCGATGTGCAGCCCCATGCATGCCGCGTGCGAGAACAAAAGAGCGCCCCTCGCTCGATTTAGATCTCTCGTCAATTGCCATGCGTAGGTAGTTGTCGCCGTCTGCACGGCGAGAGGCCTCGCGTTGCTGAAGCTCTGAAGGCTCCACGGCAGAAAAACAGCTCACAAAGCATCGCACTCATCATCATCGCATTCGTGTCTCCTCCTCCGTTAGCGCCCCCCCCCCCCCATGCTCCTCACCCACTTCTCCCCATCTTCGCCCTCATCACTATCCCGCTCCCCCCCGGTTGATTTGCATGTGCGCGGGCCTGGACAAAGAAAGGGAGAGGATGAATGGCGACAAGCGCGAGCCGTTTCCTCCCGCCAATCGTCGTTTAGCACGCCGTTGCCCCGTGGAGTTGGCGAGGCATCCAGCCAGAGATGCGACGTTCGACCTCCAGTTCGTAACATGTGATACCTACGAGCACTGCGTGTAGCGCCTCTCCAACCCTACCAGATGGCTTGACAACAAGAACAGTGGCAACGCATTGGGCCAACAAGTCAACTAACAATTCTAATCGATTGCAGTCAAATCTAATGCTGGATAAGAGTGAGGGGTGCTATGTATGCACATGGACATATAAGTGTGCGTCTCAGGTCACTCTGGAACTTCGGAACGTCAGGCAGGTTGGTTAGTTTCGAAACCCTCTGGCTATTCGTTTCAAGTTCTAGGATTTTTTAGGGTGGGTCCCACGGATAGCGAGCTGTCTTCCCTCAGGCGTGACGCGATGATCACAGCCGTTGTTACCATGACCACCACGCAACCAACTACTGTAATCATTGCCGCCACCGTCTTCACCCTGGTGCGCATTGGCGTCTTCTCGACCTAGCGAAGGAGAAAGATGGAGGGAGGGGAGGGGGAGAAGGAGGATCATATGAGGAGGGAGGAGAGGGAGGGAGGAGTGGTGGAGGGAGGGAGGGGAGGAGGAGGAGAAAGAGGAGGAGAGGATGACCACCTCCTGCCAATCGCAATGACAACATACGAAGTAGGAAGAGGAAGAGAAATTGTCACATTCACTGCCGCTACCATGGCAATCAAAGACTGCCCCTCCCGTGCCTCGAACAAACGCTGGCTTTGAAAACGATTGCGCTGCCTCTGTCCGCGGCAATTTTGGCTCAAGCAAGTCCTGCGCTCTCGATCTGTGAATCGCGATCCTGACATCGTCCCTGATGGCAGGTTTCCCACTGAGCTTCACTGAACGGGCCAAGGTTGAGATTAACAAGATGAGCGTCGTGGTGACTGCAATGCAACAGAAACTCCCGAACCACCGCTACGTGGACTCGCTGTTCCAAGACATCTGCGACGTGCTCATGGAGCGCGCGAAGCTGGGCTCCCTGCTGCTAGCAGACCCAGACCCCATCGGCAATGACGAGATGAGCTTGCAGGTCAGGCTTGACAGTTGTTCGAGGAGGTCAAGACGCGCTGCGAGCAGGTTGCCCAACCTAACACGACAAAGGTGCCAAAACGCTCCCCGTCGTCACCCCTGAGCCCTGTGCCCGGGCCATCGCAGCCAAGAGCGCCGATCGAGACTGCCGAGGAGACGATGGAGAACCAGAACGGCAACGAAGCCAGCCAGCTCTGCGACAGCCAGTTGGGGAGCCAGTTCTGCGACAGCCAGTTCGAAGACAGCCAACTCCCTTGAGGGGTTCTATGAATGACGCGCGCAACTCAAATTCTGATTCTATCTGAACGAGCTTGAAAGCACGACCGTCTTAAGTCGACGCCGTCGTCACTGCTGATTGGGTCGCGGGATCCATCGGCGAGCGACCTGGACAGTCGGCTC